CCAAGAGTCTGAGGTTGCTATGAGCTATGACACCATGGCACTTTACCAGGGGCAACAAAGTAAGACTCTGTCTCAAAAAAAAAAAAAAAAAAAAAGTTCTTATGGCTCAACTTTACAGTTTGCCTATAGATCTGCTATAAACTAAAAAGATTCAAACTGGGAATCTTCTAAGAGGTTGTTACGATAGGTTGTTGATTCAGTTTATGCATTTAAAATGTATTTAATGAGCAATAAAATAAAACAGAGAAGAGGAATCAAATTCCTCAACTCTCCTCAACAGGGGAGTTTTGGGTGTTACCCAGTAGTATGGGAACCAAGAGGCTGGTGAAGGTGATAAATCACTAAGGACGTGAGGAAGAAAATCTAACTATGATGTCACTGGTACTTCCATTCTGAACATTTTCCATCTGCTTTATCCTGAACAATACTTAAATAGGTTTTAAATGAACTGTTGCCAAAAGCAATCACAATGTATTTCAGACTTACCTACTAAACTGTTGGTGGGTTAGCACAAGGCCTTCCAACCTTATGGGAAACTTCACATCACAGCTCCCCACCATGTTTTGAATCTTAAAGTCCAAAAACTTAGCTGGGAAGCCCAACTTCTGTACAACTCTGGCATATTTTCTTGCTGCTAGTCTGGACTGTTCTTCACTAGAGAAAGGAAAAAGAAATACACTCAACCCCAGCTAAAATAATTATTTAGATAAATAACTTAATAAAACATACAATAAACTGTTCAACACCCTTCCAAGAAAAGATCAAAATTAACAATTTTACTAACAAGTATTTCTGCGTCCTTGACAGAAAACTGCAGGCCTACCAAAACAATCACCCTTTCAATTCATAATATCATTGACAGCCCTAGATTTTAGATGAACATACAATAGATAAAACATAACTAAACTGTTAAACACCCTTCCAAGAAAAGATCAAAATAACAATTTTACTAACAAGTATCATGATCATCACTACCTTTTTTATACTTTAACTCATAAATTTCTATTGAGATGAAAACTAGTAGGCTTTATTTTGACAGGAACATACTAATGAGATTTATCATTGAATATATTCACTAATTCTATCAGTTATTCAAATTTTCCTTTATCCATTTCTGCAATGTCATAAAACTGTGAAACTGTGACTATTAATATTAATAGTTCTGATGTTGGCTCGGCACTCATAACTCAGTAGTTATGGCACTGGCCACATATACTTGAGGTGTTGAGTTCAAACCCGGCCCAGGCCTGCTAAACAATGACAACAATAACAACAACAAAAATAGCCAGGTGTGGCAGGAGCTGATAGTCCCAGTTACTTGGGAGGCTGAGGCAAGAGAATCATTTAAGCACAAGAGTTTGAGGTTGCTGTGAACTGTGATGCCAGGGCACTCTACTGAGGGCAACATAGGGAGATTCTGTCTCAAAAAAAACCCCAAAAAAATAGTTCTGATGTTGTAGTATATCAAATATATATATATACATATATATAAACAAAATGCAACTAAATTGTATGGATAAAAAAGCATTGTAATCCAAGTGCAAAACTCATGTCTGACTTTAAGAGAATAAAGTCACTGCTGTCTAAAGTGATTAGAATCAACCATTTTAATAAGAAAGTAAAAACATGTTATTACCTCTTGGCTCCTGTGCACACCATCTTCCCAGAACTGAAAATCAGTGCCGTGGTCCGTGGCTCTCTTATTCTCATGATCACAGCAGCAAACCGCTAAAATGGTCAGAGAGAATCATTAGTGAGGTCACACCCCACTGCTCAGTTTTGTTAGAGCCAGAATCACCACTAGTGGGAAGGACCTAGTATCAAAACACTTGTCCTATGCTTGTCAAAATACGTGTACAGGACTCACTTACATCACATGTAACAGATACTCCTCTGCAGAGGAAGCAGAAGAAAATACCAATTGTGATGACTAAGGAAGTTATACCAATATCTATGTATTCTTTCACCTAAGAGTTCCAGCAAGAGAAGATAAGTAATGTTTGCAAAACTTGGTTCTTTAATTACATGCTCAATAAAAACCAGTGCCTCTGTTGCTGCCTTATATTTGCTGCTATCATAACTAGTTTCTCTATCTAGTAAACATACATTTTCTGTGTTATTAATATGAATTTTTAGGCAAATAAACTGATAAGCCTTTTTTATCTGAGGAAATTATTAAATCAGATTACAAGCATTTATCAATATGCAATGAAATAAAATCCTACTTCCAAATGGCCTTTAGAAATGATATTAATGTAGTAAATATTATATAAATGCAAAATAAGAAAAACATCAGTTTTTAGTCATTTTCTGCTATTTTATGTTTGAAATACGTTGGTTCTTTAAGAAACTTTTTTTTAAATTAAAATTGTAACTGAAAAAGAAAATATTTCAACTATAGGTTGAATTAATGATCTCAGGTACATGATAAAAAGCAAAAATCCTTTCAAATAACATAAAAAAATTTTTTTTTTTGAGATAGGGTCTCTCACTCCCTTGGGATCAAGCAATTGTCCCACATCAGTTTAGCCCAGTTTGCTGGGATTACTAGCAAAAATTTAATATGATATTTAGTTATACAAGAAAAAAATCCATATAGTATTTCTAATCAAGATGACTCTGATTAATTACACTGCTTTAACAATTTTAATTTAAAAACTGCCCTATGATTTTACTGCCACCTAAAAATGTTAGCAATATGTTCTAGTTTACACAAGTCCACAGAAAAGCCTAATTAGTTTGATTTCTTAAACAACTTTTACTATTTTTGGCCAGATAGCTACTAACACTTCATTAAAGATCATAAATTTATAAAATTATGTACTCAACTAAATAACATTATGATAGATGAAAGATTCTTATAAAGTTGCATGCCATACAGACTGACTTTGAGTAATTGAATAATTTACAATTACCTTTCAAATCTTAGAAAAATTTTAAAAATTTTTGAATACTTGGATAATTTCTTAAGAGAAAGAAAAAAAACACAGGTCACTAAGCAATTTCTATTCACCCTCACTCTTATTTTCACATGTTGCATAATATGATGACTATTAGGGATATATAAATGCCTCCATATAATGTTAATATGCACATTCATTTTTGCCATTTTAAATAATTACAAAAGGAATATCCAAGGTGCTCCAAAAGACAGCTAGACACTCCTGCTCATCCACCTTCTAGTCTTCCTTGTGTCTAAAGGAAACCTAATTAATTTTTGGCTAAATGTAATAACTAATATAAATGGTTGAGACTACATGAGGTAAGAGTCAAAGAGAAATATATATTTTTCTCTCCTTATTAAGGAAATGGTTAATTTATCAGTATCATAAATGGTGGATGACATATATATTGTTTTATTTAATATGCCAGTATTTTATTTTGAAGTCAAAGAAAAAGTTTTAAATGATGAAAAAGATTCAAGAGTTCTGAAAAAAATCTTTTTTTTCCTTCCTTAATTTCTTGCTCTAAATTTAAAAAAATAAACTGTAAGATCTCTTTTCCCTCTAAATACCTTTGCAGTTGCCCAAACAGCCATCATAACTACAAAGATTTATTCTCTGACCTTAAAGGAAGGTCTTCTAAAATAATTAAGCATATTATGTTCTCCACATTTCAAATAGCTCAGCCAAACTGACTAAAATGTCTCAAAACTAAATGAGGTGTCTTCTTTCTTAACAAGTTAGTATAGCAACCCTGACTGTACATTTCTACTCACTTGTGCATAAAAGACAAAGTTATGTTTTAGGGACTTAGAAACATACCCAATGTCCATCATTTAACATTTCTCTCAACCCACAGCTGATGTTTAAACAGACTGCTTATCTCCTATAGCTGCCAGACATCAGCCCTGCACACACACAAGACTTTTGCCTCCTATCTAATTTAAGCTACTTTAATTCCTTTCCCTTTAAAAAATACTTGATCATCATAATAAATCTAAACTTGCCTCATTTTGTTTTGCTTTGATAATACATCCTAACGAGTAACTCAATAATGCATATACTTTAAATAATCAAGGTATACTTTATATTGATATAATAAGTATTGTATAAGCACTATTACAATAGCTCATTCTACTAAGATAGTCATCTCACTAGATGTTCAAAAATAAACTTCTGAATTAACAGTAGATAATCTTTTGAGTTTATCTCATTATAAAAATAAAGTTTTCTATCTTTTGTGGTTATGCAATTAAAACATTAAAAATTAATTAAATGGGCTCGGCGCCTGTGGCTCAAGCGGCTAAGGCGCCAGCCACATACACCTAAGGTGGCAGGTTCGAATCCAGCCCAGACCCGCCAAACAACAATAATAATGGCTGCAACCAAAAAAAAATAGCCGGACGTTGTGGCGGGCGCCTGTGGTCCCAGCTACTTGGGAGGCGGAGGCAGGAGACTCGCTTGAGCCCAGGAGCTGGAGGTTGCTGTGAGCAGTGAAGCCATAGAAACTCTACCCAGGGGGACAGCTTGAGACTCTGTCTCAAAAAAAAAAAATTAATTAAATGACTTAGAGGAAATTAGACTTCTGAAAAGAATGTCAGTTTTAAGATTAAAGCCCATTATGAGAAAAGCCACTTCTGTGGCTCATACAGCTCTTCATCTTTCTCTTTAATTTACTTAACTATCTCAAAATGGCTTTGTTTCACCCATAACTATGTTCATATTTTATATTTAATACATGTACAAATATAGACATACACAACAAAAAGCTACCACCACCAAGAAAAATGACAAGTACAATGATTCAGGCTTTACCAAAATATTAGGGGTACAGGGAGAATCAGGGTTTTTTTATTTGGTTTGGGTTTTTTTGGGGGGGGAGATAGTCTTACTTTGTCTCTCTGGGTAGACTGCCATGGTGACATAGCTCACAGCAACCTCTTAGGCTCAAGTGATCCTCTTGTCTCAGCCTCCCCAGTACTTGGGACTATAGGTGCCTGCCACAAAGCCCAGCTACTGTGTTTCCCTGAAAATAAGACACTGTCTTATATTTATTTTTTCTCAAGAAGACACACTAGGGCTTATTTTCAGGGGATGTCTTATTTTTATTAAGTATAATACAACAATCTACATTTATTCAAATACAGTTAAGTCATCTTCTTTTGGAAACTGACAGGGGGAGTGGACCTTGTTGGTGGGGCTGGCGCTAGTGATGTGTGAACTCCTTTCCCCTAGCCATTTGCCCATGTGCAAGAGGATACCTGCGACCGTGGTTACCACACCACACCCGCTCAAGTGCAAATGGCTCAGAGAAAGAAGCTGTGGCAGATAAAAGGTATTCCAGTCTTCCTTACCACTCTGCAAGGAAATGCATGGCATGGCTAAGGAGATATGCTGCATAGCCACGCCCATCACTAGGTCTTATTATCAGGGTAGGGCTTATATTTAACAAATGTATAGAAATCGTGCTAGGGCTTATTTTTTAGGTAGGTCTTATTTTCAGGGAAACACAGTATTTTTAGAGATAAGATCTTGCTTTTGCTCAGGCTGGTCTTGAACTCCTGAGCTCAGGCAATCCACCCATCATGGCCTCCCCGAGTACTAGGATTACAGCCACTACATCTTGGTGGGGAAATCTTAAAAAACTCAAAGTGTTCCTGAGAATTGCCTTATCTTCAATTGTTCCAAACCAGAAGAAATTACAATGTAGGGACGGCTCTAAGCTCCCACTTAGATTTCATTAGATACGTAGTCAGGCATCTCTTGACAACATTCCTGGGAAGTACATGGTTAGGTAATTTCGCCACCATGATAATCACAGCATAAGGCCTGGCACAGTGGCTCACACCTGTAATGCCCTATGTTGCACTAGGACATCACGATGGCTGACTCCTCATGATCACCATCATATATACAGTCCACTGTTGACTGAAATGTTATATGGCAAATGATTACCTAGTAATAGTTTATAAATAGTTTTTCTAGTTGATTGGAGTTTTCCTTTGTTAAAAGGCCAATGCTAAAATAGTCCAAGTGTCCAGAAAGAGTTCTGCTATCCTTGGTGTAAAGTCTTACTTCTGCCACCAAGGCAAAGTGAGCAACATCTCAAGCCTGCAGATGCTCAGTGTATGAGAAGCATGGCCCCTAACAGTCTTAACCAATCACACTCTATTCTTAGAGTACTGTCAACTAACACCATGTACACTGTCAGGTGTCCTGTGTTCTATGACTGATAGCTGCAAGCTACCTTTCAAAAAAAATACCCCTGCACACACCCTCACATAATCTACTGCAGCAAACAGTTTGATGGAAAAGCCACCCATGGAAGTCAGCCTCAGAAATGCCTTGAATAAACCTATCAGATGTTCATGACTAACATGTAACTTACAGGCACCAGGACACAGTTTATATATATTCAAGAATCCTCTAAGCAGGTATCATCAGTTCTGCCCAGAGGTAGATCACAAGTCTTATTACAAGGCCTCGAGGAAGCAGGGTGTGATGGTGGCACTAGGTAGTTCCAATTAATTGGGAGGCTAAGGTGAGGGGATCACTTATCTTAGAAGTTCAAGACCATCCTGGGCGACACAGCTAGATTCCATCTCTAAAAATATATATATATATATATATATATATATGAAATAAAGTAAAATACTCCAGAAGATGATGACTCCTAAAAGTATAGCTTTCCCCAATACCTTCAAATCAAGACTCAAGACAGAACAACAACTTTACTATATACTGCCTCTTCTCTCACTTCTCCCCCTTAATATTAATGGTTTTTTGGTGTTTGTGCCACAAGTAAATTGGTCATCCATGTTTTCAAGCTCTCAAAAGAAAAACCTCAGGCACTACATCTAATTAAAACACTAAAATGCAAACTTATCAAAAAAGATTACAAGAACATGGATTTCAATGGCTTATACAAAAACTTCTACCATGGCTAGGGTTTTCTGAATGAACACAGGTGATCTGGACTATGGCTCACAAAGAAAGTTTAATAGCTCAAACTTTAGAAGCCCAACAAATTTTCATATATTGGCTAAAAGAGACCCAGATAATAGAACCATCCACAATTATTTATTGGCCAGCCTAGTGAGAATTTGTAAAACAGTTCATTATTAATGACTGGAGAAATATTTTTGAGAGAGAAGAAAAGTAGAATAATCAATTAAAAAAAAAAAAAAAAAAAAAACCTTGGTTAACTGTGCCCAAGCTAATGCTTGAGAATTATTCTCTTGTTAGTCTTAAGCAAACTAAAAAGTTAGACATAAAGCAGGGTCCACATATTTCTTAGGATGAGGATGTTCAACATTATTCTTCTTTTCTCCTCCTCCACTATACCCAGGCACTTAAATGTTGCTACACAGCCATTATTTCAAAATGACATTCAACTAAGGAAATTATATGAGAAGAGTAAAGCCCTCATGGTCAACCTGGATGGAGAGTTTAACCAAAAGAGGGGAACTCAGATACACTGGTAAGGAAATAGTGTTAACCTGGAAAAACTAGGATGCATTAACACAGACGCTGACAGATATTACAGAGACAGCCTGTAACATATAACTGAAAAGTAAATTCTTGAGTTTCCAGAGCATCAATAAGTAACTGCAATCATTTTCCCTGCTGACCTGTCCAGCTGCCACAGGGCACAATAGCCTGACAAGCCTCTTTACTAGCTGCCAGCTACAGTAGCTTACTCAAGAAATGAGCAAGACTATATTTTTAGAACAGCCCCAAGTTTTTTCTTATGTTTTCTTCCCTTTTTTATTAAATAAAATTTATTATTCCTTTGTTAGATGAAATCAACTTAACATTGGTTTCCTTTGTATAAAATTTTGTATATAGGGCCAGGTGAGGTGGCTCACACCTGTAATCCTAGCACTCTGGGAGGCCGAGGTGGGTGGATCGCCAAAGCTCACAAGTTGGAGACCAGCCTGAGCTAGAGCGAGACCTCGTCTCTAAAAACAGCCGGGCATTGTGGTGAGCCCCCGTAGTACCTGCTACCTGGGAGGCTAAGGCAAGAAAAATCATTTAAGCCCAAGAGTTTGGGCTTAACTTTGAGGTTGTCATGAGCTGTGACACCACAGCACTCTACGGAGGGCAAAAAAGTGAGACTGTGTGTAAAAAAAAAAGTTTGTGTCTGAGTGATTCTTTGACTTTGGGGGAGCTGTCTTCGGTAGGATCAACTCTTCAACCCAATCATCTTCAGACTCCAATATCTCGGTTCTGACTGGGTTCCTAAGAATGTTCCCTCATTTCTTAATGTAAATATTTTCTATTAAAAAACAACAAATTTTTCTACTAGTATAGGTGCAAAAGCCTTTAATATATACCCAGGCTGCTATCTTAAAATCAGAAACTTCTCCTCCCTGTCTTATTGTTAAAAAAAGTTACATAAACTAGAAAAATAGATTATAACACACCTCCTGTACTTATTATCTTACTTTAACTATTACTCTTGGTCAATCTTGTTATATCCATATGTCCCCTTATCAATTATCACACAGGATTATTTTGAGGAAAATTCAAAATACCATGTCATACTATCTTTTGGTTTTTTGGGGGGGGTTTTTTTGAGACAGAGTCTCACTCAGTAGAATGCCACAGCATCGAAGCTCATGGCAACCTTAAACTCTTGGATTCAAGCAATCCTCTGGCGTCAGCCTTCCAAGTAGTGGGACTACAGGCACCCACCACAACACCCAGCTATTTTTAGCAATGGGGTCTCACGCTTGCTCAGTCTTGAACTCTAGAGCTCAAGCAAGCCACCCACGTTGGCCTCTCTGAGTGCTAAGATTACAGGTGTGAGCCACCGCACCCAACCCATGTCATAGTATCTTATAGTTCCCAAAATATAAACAGGACCATACTATATAATCTGTTCTCAAACTTCCTATGATCCCCATTACAATGTATATAAAAACTTAGTTTAATTTGTAGACTTATATGTTCCTAGGGACTCTCACATTATAGATACTAAATAACATTCTAGTTGAATGAGTGAAATTGTTCTATTTAGTAAATATGCAAGATAAAAACTGATAGACATTTTACTTTAGATCCTCATTTTGTTGATATCAAGAAACATAAGCATAACCCAAACTCTTTGACCTAGGGACTTTTAGAAGTAAATTCTTGTTTCATTATACAGCTTAAAATGCATTAAAGTAGATCTGACCTTGGGATTATATTCAGCATTTCGGGCGCGAAGTGCAATGGTCTTTAGATCAAGTTTACAACCAAGATTCACTGTGGAAACAATATTTCTGCAAGAAATTTGAAAAGAAAACATGATTATTTAAATTATCTAACTTTAACAAGATGAAGTACTAGATCATTACTTCAAAGTCTGATCCTTTCACAATGCTTTCATTTTTTAAATTTGCTGATATTAAGTGTCTAGCAAGTATCACACACCATGCTGAGCATTTTACACTTAGTACTAAGTATGCTATGAGGTAGCAATTACCAATATCCCCACATTTAGGTGAGTGAGCTGAGGCCGGAAGTGCAGAGCTCCTCAGTTGGGGGGCCAAACCCTCAGCCTTCTCTTAGATAGGCTCAACTGTCACCTGGGAGCTCTCAAAGACCACCCCTACCCCAACACCCCACTCCTAAAAGTCACTATTTATAATGAAAACTGGCAGGCATAGACTTCCTACAGTCCAATAAGCATCTTTTTGAAGATGCTAGTATCACTGACACGGTAAAAAAACAAAAACTATTTCTTCTTCTGATTAACCCCCAGTAAATCAGAATAGGCATCATCTTCCACCATCTGGGTCCAATGGATGCTTTCCATGTTTTAATATTCTTAAATTATTTTATGAATAATTCGTAAAACAAAAGAGTGAAAACAAAATTGGGAATTTTAATGAAAGTTTCGATAACTCAAATTTTTATTCTGTATTTTTCTGCTTCTCAAAGAATATATACTTGAAATAGGCTAGTTGCCCTTTGAATGCAGTTAATCACTCATCATCTGTCATACATGGGCCTGGAAAATCGCCACCCTGAGAAGAGTGATTCCAGATGTTAAATAGCCAACAGTTTCTAGCTCATTTGTTGCTTCTGGTCCTCCTTTATGTATTGTCCAACTGTAATACTTTTGAAAACTGATGGCTCATAATTTTGTTGAAAAGGGAACAGCAGGCTTTTATTTTTTGCAGTTTTTGGCCATGGCCAGGTTTGAACCCGCCACCTCCGGTATATGGGGCCAGGGCCCTACTCCTTTGAGCCACAGGCGCTGCCCTACAATTCATGATCTAAAGCAAAAGTGCAAACTTAAACGTCTGTGGGAGTCAGATAAGCACACAAGACAACTGGAAGTAGGCAAAGGTGAACTAAAAAGGGCACCTCTCTAAAATCATTAAAGTAGGGTAGCACCTGTGGGTTGGTAAGTAGCGTGCTGGCCCCATATACCGAAGGTGGCAGGTTCAAACCTGGCCCCAGCCAAACTGCAACCAAAAAAATAGCCAGGCGTTGTGGCAGACACCTGTAGTCCCAGCTACTCGGGAGGCTGAGGCAAGAGGATCACCTAAGCCCAAGAGTTGGAGGTTGCTGTGAGCTGTGTGATGCCATGGCACTCTACCAAAAGCAATAAAGTGAGATCTGTCTCTACAAAAAAAAAAAAAAAAATCATTAAATTTATTTTGCTTTTAAAATTGTGTTGTATGGGAGACAAACAAAATAGTGGTGGCAAGACATAGGTCTCTGGGTAACAGTCAGGATTCACGAGTATACACACTTAGTTCTGAAATTACCAGAGACGGCGTATAGGGGACAACCATGCCTCTAACAAGATGATTAAGTGCAAACAGGAAATGCCAGACCTCAGAGGACAGGAGAGGGGAGATGAGATTAACTGTACAAGGAAACTGAGGTGATCCAATACCTGAAAATAAACCTTCACTTTGGTCATAACCTCCCCTAAAAGTAAAAGCTCTCAAGTTGGTACAAAAGTAGTTGCAGTTTTTGCAGTGTTGAAATTTGCCATTTGATACTGGAATGCATTATTAAATGAATGTGGTTATGTTATTCATCATCTTAATGTATACTTCTTGCTTTATGTTTTTTTTTTCCTAATGACTTACTCCTTGTTGTTTTTTTTTGGACCATGGAAATGATGGTAGACAAAAAGCACATTCGAGCAATTTGGGTTTTTTTTGAGACAGTATTGCTTTTTGTTGCCCTCGGTAGAGTGCCCTGGCGTCATTGCTTGCAGCAATCTCAAACTCTCAGACTCAAGTGATCCTCTTGCCTCAGCCTCCCGAGTAGTTGGGACTACAGGCACGACTACAACAAAGCCCGGCTATTTTCAGAGATGGGGTCTTGCTCTGGCTCAGGCTGGTCTCAAACTCCTAAGCTTAGGCAATCCACCAATCTTGGCCTCCCAGAGTATTAAGATTACAGGCGTGAACCATCTCGCCTGGCCCTATCAAGGAATTTTCTTATTTGAGTTCAAAATGGGTTGTAAAGCCACAGAGACAATTCATAACACCAACAACACATTTGGCCTAGGAACTGCTAACAAATGTGCAGTGCAGTAGGAGTTCAAGAAGTTCCAGCCGGGCGCCATGGCTCATGCCTATAATCCCAGCACTCTGGGAGACTGATGCAAGTGGATAACCTGAGCTCACAAGTTCCAGACCAACCTGAGCAAGAAAGATTGAGACCCTGTCTCTAAAAAGTAGCTGGGCATTATGGCGGGCGCCTATAGTCTCAGCTACTCAGGAGACTGAATCAAGAGGATCGCTTGAGCCCAAGCGTTTGAGGTTGCTGTGAGCTATAACACCATGGCACTCTACCCGGGACAAGAAAGTGAGACTCTGTCTCAAAAAAATAGATTTTTTTGCTGGATTGAGCTGGTTGCCTTCTGCTGTTATGGAAGAGGACCCTCTTCTTCCTGGCTTTTAGATCTTTTTCTGTAGATTCTATTTGGATATTTAAGTCTTAGCCTTACATTACGTTTTTTTTTAAAACAATCCAGCTCTTTAATTTTTCCCCTTCTCAATAACATAATTGTGGATCCTGTGTGTCTCCAAAGCCCACCTTGCCCTGAAGCATCTGATTCTAGTGATTCTTCTCCAATACCTGTGACTTGTGGGTCTAAAGAAAATTATCCATCCTTGCCAATGTCTACAGAGGTGCCCCAGACAGAGACTGCCTCTTCTCTTCCTACTTCTATGGCTCTGCTGACTCAGGACAGGCCCAAATCTTCCACTACTTCCAAAGTAAAATAGTATAGTGAAGAAGGAAGATAAGGACCAGGTCAAGAAACAGAAGACCAGACCCATGTTCTCTACAACCCAAGTTGTGTATACTCAATGACAGGTTTCAGAGACAGAAATACCTCAGCCTCTAACAGATCCAAGAACCTTCCAACATCCTGAACCTTAGCTATAAACAGGTTAAGAGCTGGTTCCAGAACAAGAGAATGAAATCTAAAGGATGGAAGAAAACAACTGGTTAAAGAACACATACAGTATGACTCTCAGGCTCAAAAGGCCTCAGCACCCACGGAATGCCCAAGCCTCTACTCTTCCTATCACCAGGCATGCCTGATGAACATCCCGAGACTTCCCGTATGGAGCAACCAGACCTGGAGCAACCCAACCTGGGGTAACCAGACCTGAAGCAGCCAATCTTAGAGCAGCCATTCCTAGAACAGTAAGACCTAGTACCCAAGCCTGGAACAGTCAGGCCTGAAACAATGCTTTTCTAAACTATGCGGAGGAGCCTTTACAGTCCTGCCTACAGTTCCAGCAAAATTTTCTTGCCAATGATTTGGAAATTGCCTTGGAAGCTTCTGGAGAAAGACATAATGTAATCCATCAAACCACTAAGTATTTTACCTCCCCACAAACCATGGATTCATTCCTAATTTACTCAATGAACATGCAACCTAAAGATGTGTGAAGACAGATGTATTACTCAATCTCAGTGTGAGCAGTGGCTGAATCCTTTCCGCTCTCACAGGATTTTTCTTTCTTTTTTTTTTTTTTGAGACCGTATTACTCTATCACTCTGGCGAGAGCGCTGTGGCAGCATAGCTCACAGCAACCCAGCAACCTTCAAGTCTTTTTTCTTTTTTGAGACAGAGTCTCAAGCTGTCCCCCTGGGTAGAGTGCTGTGGCATCACTCACAGCAATCTCCAACTCCTGGGCTCAAGCGAGTCTCCTGCCTCCGCCTCCCAAGTAGCTGGGACCACAGGCACCCGCCACAACGCCTGGCTATGTTTTTTGGTTGCAGCCATCATTGTTGTTTGGCGGGCCCAGGCTGGATTTTAACCTGCCAGCTCAGGTGTATGTGGCTGGCGCCTCAGCCACAGGAGCCACAGGCGCCGAGCCACAACCTCCAAGTCTTGAGCTCAAGCAACCCTTTTAACCTTAGCCTCCAAAGAAGCTGGGACTATAGGTGCCCACCACAACACGTGACTAGTTTTTCTATCTTTAGTAGAGATGGGGCTTTGCTTTTGCTAGTCTCAAACTCCTAAGCTTAAGCAGTCTATCTGCATACCTCAGCCTCCCAAAGTGCTAGAATTATAGGCAGGCCTAAGCCACTGCTCCTGGCCAATTTTTCTTATTTTAGAGCAGTGGTTCTCAACCTTCCTAATGCTGCAACCCCTTAACAGTTCCCGTGGGTCATGATCCACAGGTTGAGAACTGCTATTTTAGAGGAACTATTCTGCCTCTATTCTGGCTCTCAGTGTCCCTGTTGCAAGACTGGAGTCTAATCAGAGGTTCCAATAACCTTGGCTACTGTAGACAACGTTGATAGAAGATATCTCTATAGATAAAATAGTTATAGTAACTAGTTTGGATAGCTTTAGGATTTAGAATCTAACCACAAGAATAGGATAAAATAGTTATAGTAACTAGTTTGGGTAGCTTTAGGATTTAGAATCTAACCACAAGAATAGGAAGTAAAAAATACAAAGATGTGTAAAGGATTATTCCCTCTTTCTGGGACTGGGAGGGCTTATTTTTTTTTTTCTCACAAATGAATGCTTAAAAGGTGAGAATATTTTTTATTTTTATTTCTGATTAACTAGAATTGTCTATGGTTAGAGTTGTAAGCTTCAAGGATCAACAAAACCAAAAGGTGAACACATAACCATTAAGTTATTATCATTTACACATTAAAGCTTCAAGTCATAGTTGTTGCTGTGTCCATGCATTGTACCTGTTGGGTAAGAAGCGACCAAATCCTTTCTTCCTCCCTTTTTGAATTTGATTTTCTCTCATGTGGGTCTGTGATTTTTTGGTTTTTTTTTTGAGATAGAGCGTTACTATGTTGCCCATAGCAAAGTACCATGGCGTCATAGCTCACAGCAACCTCAAACTCTTGGGCTTAAACGATTTTTCTGCCACAGCCTCTCAAGTAGCTGGGACTACATACAGGCGCCCACCATAACACCTGGCTATTTTTTTGTTGCAGTTGTCACTGTTGTATAGCTGATCCAGGCCGGGTTTGAACCTGCCAGTCTCGGTGCATGTGGCCAGCCATAACCACTGTGCTATAAGCGCTGAGCCAAGTCTGTGATTGTTAATCTTCCAGTTTCTTTCTTTCTTTTTTTTTTTTTTTTTT